CTATAAAATGCCTGACTAAGGCTAAGGCAAAGTTAGCTACCAGCTAAATTCCAGATTTTTGGCAGTGTTGTGCATGGCAAGACCAACAGCTACCTCTGTGCAGAACATGAAGTCCCTCCTTGCCTTACTGTGTCCTTCAAACATGACAAAGTAGAGATGCAGAAGAAAGAAGATAAGGTGTTGCAGTAGTGTTTTCTCACTGGCAGCAAGACAGGCTGAAGCAACAGGGTATATTAAAGGGTTTCAGTGAGATAAAGAGTAAAGTTCTGGACTATTTTCCTTTGGTTTAATCTCTGCCACCTGCCATGAGGCTCCCCTGTCTTTGAGTCTGAGAAGACCTCATTTTTTTTGTTCAGTTCTCTTTAATCACTGCATTTAAATATGTGTGTAAAAAACCAACAACAACAAAACCCCATCTGCATGAAACCAAATTTGATATTCTCTTCCTCTCTTAACGTGATCCCATGAATTTCTTGCATTGTTGTGTCCCATGTACTAAGGGTCCCATGCAGAGCACAAACAATAAAGCAGTGAGAAGACAGATGCTCTGCTAATGGGAAACCAAGGAGAAGAGAGTCTGTGAGGGATTACAGGCAGCCTGGGGTTGGAATACATTATTAGCATAGCACCCAATTCAGAAATTGGTTTTCAGAATTAAATGCCTGAAGCATTTTGGCAAAAACTCCTGATCATCCCTCTCAAAAGCCCTTAAAACATAAAAGAATAGGAATCTCAAGTCTGGGCTGAGCAATCACATTTGGTGACCTTGCAGGGCTGTAACAGTGAATTGTAGTTTTTATGGCTTCATTCCATTACCAGGGCAGCACCTTCCACACCTATTGAAACGTAATGCACTTGATCTGCATGCACAAACCTTTAGCAGGTTCTGAACATCCTCATCAAAGAAGAAAATGGGCCTGAATGAGATTCCAGGGTCTGTTTCCAGGAGGAAGGTTTTGTTTTGTTGAGTGTGTAACAGCAGGGAAGTGCATCAGCCTCTCCTTAGGCACAGATGGAGAGAAGCAGCGAAGTCTTTTTCAAAGATCTGGCATTGCCTAAGGTAGAAAGTTTGGGTCCTGAAGCCTTTTTCAGGCATGCTGTTTTCTGAATGTTTTTTTTTTTTGAAAATCATGATGAGAACATCAAATTTTAAAAGATCCTGGGTAGACAACAAAGTTGGTTACAGGACTGAGGACAGACAGGAGAAATTGTTTCTCATATTACTTAGTGGGATTATCCTCCATGCATAATTGATCATTATATGCTCAAAAATCATTGTTAATTTCTTTTGGGTATATTGCACATTAGACAGAAGAGTTATAAACCCCAAGATTATCACAGGAGGACACTAGCAGGCCTAAATATTCAGGACAGAGGGGGACTTGTTTTCCTCTTACATTGCAACAAAGATTCTTGGACAGAATCATTAGAGATTTTTTTTTTTGCCCATTTGATAATCAAATGATAGTGGACAGGAAACAAAAGAAAAGTTCGGCCAGCCCAGTCTTCTACTTTGTTCTGCTACTCTAATACAATCAACATATTTCTTGAGGTTTATTTATCCCAGAGTCTTATTTTACATAATTATCATTGGGGAGCTTGATTACAAGGTCTTGATTCATGCACATAAAATGAGATTTTAGTATCCTGGGAGAAGTTAAGGACAAGTTAAATATGGGAGAAAACAGCTGGGACCAAACGAAAAAATCAGGAAAAATAATTCACCAGGTCTTCAACATGCACTTCTTTTCTGTGTATCCTGGTAACTAGCATCTTATTTCTGAGCCATGCAAGTGGGAGTAAAGAGTAACACTTCATTTTCAGTTTTGAATTTCAGAGCTGTTCTTTTTATAACAACTTCTTTCAATGTTTTTATATATGTTTAATGAGCATACTGGACATTTGGGAAAGTTCAGAATTAGGCTTCTTATTTGTCCTGGGTACAGACTGTCTGTAGACTTCTGAACATTTCTGTCTGAGATTTGAGATTGCTCTCTGTTTACATCATATTACTGATCTGCCAACAGAATGTATTTTAAAAAACTCCAAAAACTGGCACATATGAAACCCTTACAGAGTAAGGCTAGTATTGAGTCCAGTACTGCTTATATCCCAAATGAAACTGTATGTATAGAATACCATGTGTACAGGAAGCATAGCTGTGATTTGGCTTCTCCACTAGAGTCTTGCCCATCAGCCTGTAATACCTTACTGTTTCACCTGTTTTTCATGTCTCCAGATTACAAGAGTAGGCTGGTGTGCACAAAAGCTCTTTTCCCATCCAACTCTGTCAGTAATAAAAGAAGCTACAAATCTGTCGAGCAGAACCTCCTCTTCTCTTGCAGTTACCTAGCACAAGCTCTGGGGGACCTGTGCTTCTTCCACCCAGCCATACTGGAAACCCACCATCAGGGAGGCTCCTAGGTGTGCTGAGAGATAATAAAGAGGCCATTCTGCCTTGTCTGCAGACTGGAGCAAGTTACAACTTCTCTCTCATTGCACACACAGGATTCGTGAAATTTAATAATAATCAAGCAGTTCAAAGACAGAGGTTGCCAATTTTAATTAGTATTTTAAGACTTTGTTTGTAAGCTCTGTTTCTAAAATTGAAAACTTAACACAACAGCCCTTTTTGAACTCTCCAAGCTAAGAACAAAACACTGCAAAGTAGAAGTTGACAGGTGAGCTACAAAATGTAGAGAAAATAATTATTGTTTACCTTTCAACAGCAGTGTCCGTGGTACTACTATCATAGAGAAAACAGTGCTGCTCTTTTCCGAAGCTGTTGCTCTTTTCCAGTCCAAATAGATTTAAAGCACAATCAGAGCTGAACCCAAACCCATCAAGTCTCCAGTTTGTCTGGGGTCAATCCTATGATCAGAAAAGAGTGGTAAATGACAGCTCCCTGAGCCCAGGAAGTATGTTATCACTGCTATCAGACTTACTTTCATTCTATGAATTCTTCTTAATTGGGTAATCCAGTTCTGGGTATTTTTTACAAATAACAATTCTCATGTTAAGAACAAATAATGGTTTTAATTTCATGTCAGCAAAACCTATATTTCTGACAAGCAGTGTAATTTATGACAGTCTAGTTAGCACTGAATGTTATGAATCTGATCAGTATGCCATTCTGTTCCTGGGGAATAATGTTCCCTCTTAATCAATAGCTGGGTAGGTGCACTTTGCATTCCTTATCACATGACAGCCAGATGGTACTGGTAAATTCATTCCAGGAGGATTTTAGAATTAGCTGGGTTTATACTATTGTTAATCCTCTGCTGTCTGCGCCACTAGGATCTACCCACCTGTTTCCAGTAACCCTTGATTTCACAACCTTAGGAAATAGTCTAGCCAGGTGGTTACTCAGATACAGTGTGGCCAAAAAGCTTCCCAAGCAGTGAGACCTTTTCCTTCATCAGTAAGAAAAAGAAAAAAAGCAAAGAGTGTCTTGCAGAAGTAGCCAGCTAGGAGTGCCCACCTCTATTTGTTCCTCAACACCCTGATCTCTTTTGATGAAGTTTCAAAGTTTCAGATTGCATGAACTGTGTTCCTCAGTGCATAGTAAATCTGAGGCTGTGACAGCTGCCCTGCCATAATTTACTTACTTTTTCAGCCTGTCAGAGTGTCTGGGATAACATTTCCTTCATAACTGATTTGTTGCATAGCAACAATAATGTTCTCTCCAACCTATTGATCTGAAATAACATGTAAGCCCCTTTCACCAATAAAAAGGAAAACAAATGGCAGTTCTGGGCTGAGAACCACTGGCTTTTGAAATGAGAGGACAGTAAATCTCCACTAAACCAAGGAGGGAATGGAGCAAGCTGTAAGCTCTGTTGGGCTGAGGCTCTAAGGATGCATCAGATGCCAGAGCCAATTAACCTGTGCTCTAGGAGAAGAGTCCAGTTTACAGTCATACCCCACCATTCCCTGTCCTTTATGTTCTGCAATTAAAGTACATTTCAGACAAGCTTTGCTACAAACTTAATTGTTGAAATAAGCATCACTGTGCAATACTGTACAGTAACTGGGCACTTTCTGGCAGGGGTGCACACGCAGCACTTGCTTTGTATGGGACTGCTGTGTGTGAGGGTAAAGTTCAGCCACTGCAAATACCAGTTTCAAAGTGACATGGTTGTAGTTCTTTGGGCAAATGCCTCTTGTCTGTGAGGTAATTGTTTGGTAGGTCAGTCATCTAGCCTGATAACCTTGATATTTTTTGTATACCTCTAACTACAGGGCTAAAGACAGACTTTGGCATCTGAAGCAGGATCTGCTTTGGGGAGGCAAGTACAAAGTTAAGGTCAAAAACACTTGGAGCTTTGGTCCAAGTGGGCAAAGTATTTCCCTACTGCCCAGCCTTCCTGCTTCCCATCGTAGCTGAAATGTGGGCTGAGAGTTGGGGTTTATGTCATCTTTCTGAGGTTATCTTACTGTTGCCTTTATCATGCAAGGAGCCCAAGCTCCTACAACTGGAATTTTACATTCCTCCCTGGATATAAAGCTTGGTATCCACAAGGAAGCGAAATCCTCCCTGGGCTTCTCTTCATTTTTTCAGCTTGCACATAGCACTGAGTTAAATGTAGGTCCAAAATCTGAGGTCAGTAAGCATCTGGCCACTAATTTGAGCAGGAATCAGGAGGTAAGTCTTGTATTAATTTTTTTCCCCAACAACAACAATCAAAAGAGTGAATTCAAGCTAATTCCAGCATACCAAATGTGAACTTGCCAAATAGGCTTCAAAAATCAAAATCAAAATTAATGTTGTTAGACTGGAAATATCAATGTTTGCAGAGGACCAGAAGGCCAAGCTGGTATCTGAGCATACTGGAAGGGCAGAGCAAGGCTTCTGAGTCACTGTCTCACAAACCTTTTGTATAGTTTACTATCATGTACAGCACAGGCTGGAGAATAGCTTAGTGTTCACTCAGAAGGTATTTCTGCAGCTAGAGGAGTGGCTACTAATAATCTTTTTTTTTTTCCTGTTGTTTGAACAGTATTCAGGTTTTCAGCAAACGGCAGACAAGTGCTTTGTTTGTGGACACCTCATAATGGAAATGGTAAGACACCTTACATTCCTAATAGCAGGATGCCTTGCACTGTGAGTCATTGTGCTTTTTTCCTACTCAGACTGTCCTTGTGTCTTCACTGCTGTCAAGGTAATTTGTGGAACTCAGGCACTAAATAAACAAAAACACCTTTTTGCTCTATTACTGTTAAGTACAGCGAGTTGGGCCTCTTTTCTACCTGAGTTTATGGGAAGCTGTTGTTCTGCCACATGCCAGTTTTAAAAAAAAAGAATTTTAATACTAAAAGGGGAAACAGCTTTTGTTATGAGGACATGGTAAAGGAAAACAGGCTCTGCTCTGTGAGACAGTAGAATAGCAAATTTCTGTCAGTTGGATGGAATGTGGTGGTGCATTAACAAGAGTCCTGAGGTTTGTTGTCCACTCTGTGACTTGGCTTTTTTTACCTTCTGCTGCTTGCTCCCTATCAGTTAAAACACATTGTTGCTACGGGGATTTGTAGGGAGCCAGTAGTCAGAGTTACTTTTGTAACAAAAAAAATAATAAATCAAAGGCCTATGGGTTGGGCTGGCAGCATTTCCGTGAGTTAAAGTAGGAAGAATTTAGTCTGTTTTTCCTAAGCAGAAATTCCTAAACAAAATGAAGTGGCTTGCACATCGAACAAGTGCAGATCATGCAGTACATCTCTTTTCCTCTTGCTTTAAAATGTATTTGAACCCCAGCATGCCTAATAGAAGCAGTTGTTGCACTGCAAACACTGAGGTTCAGTAGGGGCTGGAATGGAGACTTCTGTAGTGAGGATTCTGGCCCATATCCTGGATCCACTGGTTGGACAAGGATATTGTTCATTTCAGCCCAAAAGCAAATTTCTAGAGTTGTGTCATGCTGGGAGGGGGAGGGATATCCTGACTTGCTTGCTTTGAGCTGGCCCTTAATTGCAGAATCCCAGGCAGGAGTTCATAATATCTCGTTGGTGGAGCTCAGTAGCTGGAAGCTCGACAGGTGCTTGTCTTCCTTTCTCTCATCAGCAAGTGTGCTCTGAGAAAAGAAAACAGCGCTGAGATCTCTAGGAATTAAGCACTTACTGGGCTAATTCCTTCGTGTTCCTCTGGGGGCGCGTGTAGGACAAAGGTGCCTGCGCGGTGCTGGTGCCCGTTCCAGGTGCTGTGCAGAGCAGCGGCTGCACAGCCTGGCCAGATGTGAGTAGCTGCTGAGACAGCAAAGGCTGCACAGAGACCTTTCTGGCGAGGAACGTGTTGCAAACCAAACGAAACCTGATGCCACTTAACTGACCAGAGACCTACAGGCTTCATCAGAGGGAAAAAAGGTTAAATTCAGTTGCTTTTGTGCATTTTTCCAATGCACTACTTCTTTTCTTGTTGATTTGAACTTCATTCATAGAATCATCTGCAGGGCCATGAGAGCTTGGCCTGTGGAGAATTTTCATCTCCAGTTTATTAGCAGCTCCAAGCTGAACACTGTTGCTAGCAGATACTTTTTGAAATTATCTTCCAAAAGTATTTCTTAGAACTGAAATGTATGCAATTTGTGCTATAGCCTGTTGAAAGCTGCCTTGACATCATGTCTCAGTCTTGCCAGAGGTTTGGTGCATCCTCCTGGATGTCCCAGTGCCACACTGAGCATTACATACAAGGATGCCAGGAGGGAGGGGTTCTGTTCTGTAGCTGTGTAGCTGAGGCTGCATCAGGACTTTGAAACCTTTAAAATGCAATAGGGAAGGTCAGCATGGGAAAAGCCTTGGCAGATAGATGGACCTGTATCCTAACACATGGATACAGGTGGAATTTTAACAGAAACCAATGGGCTCCTGTGACTGAGTTGTAACTAGTCATTAACTGTGGTGGATTAGAATACTTAATTAATACAGGAAGACCGATTTATTTCCTTGTTTTTAATTTTACTTTTTGAGTAATGACTGGTTTTGATTTTGTCTGTCACAGCCTGTTAAGTTTAGTGAATTAACTCTGTATCCCAGTAACTTGTATTTGGCTGCAACAGATTTTCCAAGCAGTGGTCTCTGAAGCAGTATTTAATTTCTGTTGGCAGTCATGGCCTTGCCCAGCTAAGACTGATGGGCATGAGCCTGATTTTTACAGTTCTCTCTCTTTACTGAAACCCACTGAAATAAACAAGTTGATTGTTTTAAAAGGCCTCTTGCTGACAGATCTGCAGAGTGGTAATTTCATACTGAAATGCTTTTCCTCACTGTCATTAGGAAGAATCAGACACAGCAGAATATGGAGAGGGGGGATCTCATGTACGTGCATCCACTTACGTTGCTGTTTGCCCCCTAAGATCTTACAGGCCCTCGGAAAGTCATACCATCCCGGCTGCTTCCGCTGCGTGGTGTGTAATGAGTGCTTGGATGGAGTCCCCTTCACTGTAGACGTGGAGAACAATATTTACTGTGTCAAAGACTACCATACGTAAGTACACAAATGCACTGTGTGCTTGGAAAAACTATTGTAGTTAAATTATTAGTGTAGGTAAACACTTTGTAGTAGATTAAAAGGGTCATTCCTGTTTGCTCAGATGTCTTCCAGTGCTAAGTCTTACATGTTGCATTTGGGAAGTACTTTAAAGTTATATTCACTTCATGGGCCCAGCGTGGCATACAGTAACCAGATGATTTTGGAAACTGAGTTATGTCAGAAGAGGTACTTCTCTGGTGGCGTTTCTCTGCTTCTTCCAGGATTTTCAATACTAATTAGATCAAGCTAATTCTGCAAGTGGTGATAGGTTCTGCTGGTGGTTTCTAAGGGTTGAGGTTCTGGTAGTGCTTGAGACTGGTGAGTGTAAGTTAGGTTATCCTAGACTGGATGGTAGACATGTAATTAGGAGCTGGTGTTAGAATGATTTTAGCCTCACAAGACAAACAGTTTGTGGTTTAAGTGATTGCTTTTGGACTCCTTTCTGCTCCTTCTTAAAGGCAACAGGAATGCTCTTAGCTCCAGTCAGCCAGTAACGGCTTACGCAGCAAGAGTAAATCACTCTGAACTCAACTTTGTTGGTACCATGTTGACTGTGCTACCAGGATAGTCATAAAATGCAGCTGTGGATAAAACAGGACCATTTGATGTATTTAAGTAGATTCTAGCCACCATCAGCCCTTCTCTTACTTAGCATGGATATGTCTTCCTGGTATCAGATGGTGACAGTCTCCAAGTGTCTGGAGGAATTTGAATGGCTGTAATGAGTAAAGGAAGGTAAGAAAAAGGGCTTAGGTGGGAAGGGGGCTGGATTCACTGTTCCGAGAAATCAGAAAGACCTAAGCAGTGAAGCTGTGGTAGATCAGTCCCATCAAATATTTAGAGGTGTTTCAAATCCCACACAACTTTTATTTTGTGAAAAACAAGGCATGGTTAGAATAGCTTTCTTTTTTTCTACTTTTTGAAGAAGGTTTAAATGTGATTTGAACATTTTATTCTTGTACTCTAGGGTTTTTGCACCAAAATGTGCTTCCTGTAACCAGCCGATCCTGCCAGCACAGGTATGTGTTAACACACATTGACTCTAGAGAAAACAGCTGTTGGCAAATCAACACTTTCTAAAAACAGATGCTTTTCCCTCCCTCTTCTAGAATCTATGCTATGTCAGATACAAAATTAAATACAGCTCAGTAATAATGTCACTCCCAAACATTCCCAGAGGTTGTAACAGTCATACTACTTATGCAGCATAGTACTTTGTATCTCTAGGGTGCTTTCCAGATCTTACTTATGCTGTTATAAATCTAATTTAATTGAAAGCTCTGACTGGGGCTCCAAGAGCAACCCAAGAAGTAAAGTCCTGTTTATTTTTAGAATCTCTCATTAGCTTAAGCAGCAATTTGCCTTGTCTGCTACCTCTGCATTTCTGATGTGGATCTGTTACAATGCCCAAACTTGAACAGACATCCGAGGGTTGTCCTGACCCTGCTAAAAGGCCACACGGTCTGTCATTCTGGGATGGCAACGTAATTAAAGTACTGAAAGGGGTGGAAAAGACAACAGAAAAGTTGGCTAAAAGGGAAGCCAGATGTTACCCACTTGTAACCTCAGCCTGTCCTGACAGTACAGTTAGCATGGTAAGACCTCTGCATTAAGACCTCTCTCTGCTGCCTGTTGTGCTCTGGTGGGTGCAGGACTCCCCGAGTTCCTATTGAGGTCACTGACCAGCTCATTTGTAAGCAAGGGCATCAGCACCTCCCTCCTTTTTCTCTTGTCATGTTTACAGAGCCAGAGCTCGCATCCTGTAAGCTGCTGTGCCCCTGTGGCTAGAGCCTCCATCTCTGCACATTACTCTGTCATGACTGTTTCTGTTAAATGGCCACATCTCACATAATTAGAAACCTTATAAAAACTGAGCCAGAACTGCTTGTTCTGGTTATGGGATGTGAGGAGAAAACCCCTATGTAAATTTCACTGAATATGTGTCTTTAAAATGACTTTAAGAAAAAAAAAACAAAGCAGTCCGAGTGCTGACTCACCTAATAGGATAGATTCTTTCCCAGGGAGGTTTAGGTTAGTTCAAGTCTAGCAGTGCAGGCACTAACTTGCTCACAGCTTCTCTCAGACATAGTCTGCGTCAGATCTGATGTTCTAACCACACCTGGAGCTGCAAACAATGTGAGGCAACAAATGTAAAGAGCTGTCTTCAGAGGCCTCAGAATGGATCAGGGAAAG